GCGGTCGCGCTCTTCTCACAGCATCGGAAGCGCCGGAGGGAGGCTTGCGGACGAAGGTGTGGATTGCGGGTCCGAACGGACTCTTGGCGCTTTTGCGGCGCACTTTCAAGCTGTGAATGCAGGCACGGTATTAACTCTTGTCCGCCTGTCTACCACGATTGGGGTATGGAAGAGGTGAGCTTGCCTTATCACTCACCATTTAAAGGAAATAATATTTGATACTCAAAGCAAACTGAGTTATTGTTAGTACATGTCTGACTGCCATTCCCAAGTAACCCTCCATTTATCATTCATTCAAGGATCTTGTTATGAACTTGGCGCTGGTGCAAAAGTGGATGTTGTATCCATATACCCATACTGAATTTCAAGCGAATTTTGCAAAAACTTGGGTCATACCGGTACGGTCAAACCGCCTTTGGTTCAGGCTACCCGCTAATGCTCGGCAATCATCCGGATTTCCTGCTCTTGAAGCTGAACGACGGCTTATTGTTAGTACCCCCTCCATTATAATCGCCAGATTACTAGAGCATTGCAAACGGCCAATTCTTCCTATCGTTTGTTTTCCGCTGTCAGTTTTTTCTACGAAAATCAAGTGTTAAAATGAGTTTTGTATACCGAGCATGTCAGAATTACAAACTTAGTCACACATGTGGTGACAGCCTGAAATGCACCAACATATCATGTGCTTTTTGATCGTCTTGATGCTATTTCATGTCATTCCGCAATGAAGCCTCAGAAAAATTGACTTATCATTATTTGTTTATGTTCACATAGAAGGCCTCATTTAATGTTTTAGGTGGACTATTGCTGTCAGCTGCTGAATTCGGTGCTTATACCATTGGAACGGAAATCAACTATCAAATCGCTAAAGCCATTGGTATGTTGCTTAGCTGATTCAGATATTTAAATGTTGTGCTTTCCATTGTATTTGATATCCAGAAGGGCCGCTGTGCCGGCGGTAAATCGGCGACTCGTCAAAAACGGTACAACGGGGAATTAAATTAAATCTAGTTTTTTTTTCCTTCTCTGGAATGTGATTTTCTTCTCATTTCAAATGTTTCAAGCTACTCGAAGCAATAAAT